ATGCTGATTGCACGCTTGTGGGGTTGGCTTTTGAAAAAAACAAGGTAAGTGATGTTTTGCAGACTTTAGTTTGATTAATTAGATTACTTGAACTTACTGGCGTTGAATTATGAATGAGGTCTTCTTGTCTCGACTCATAGTGGATATGTGTAAGAGTTCATGCTTTTTTGTTCCCCTCTTTTTACTTGGTCCCTCTTGTTGTGTCTATAAAATCGCAACTTATGCTTCCTCTCTTCTCTCCCTCCCCCCCAACCCTGTTTTTTGGGATGGGGGATTTGGATGGGGAGGAGTGTATGGTTTCAGGTTAGATGCATTGTTTAGGAGATCAAAGAGATCAAGGAGACGACAAAGAGAAGATCCAAAAAAGGATGATGAAATCATTAATGAAATTGAGGATGAGGACTTATATGTTGAACGCATCCGTATCGAGAATCTGGAAATCAGGTTTTAATTGTATCCAACTCAAAAAACATTGTCCATATTCTCAGCAGTGATGTCAAATTTAGAGTATGACCACCATGTGGTCAACCAATATGATGTCTGAAAGCCATATACAAATGTGTTAAAACTATTATTTGTAGGGTTTCTTTTTTATGATCAGACCTTAATCCCTTGCAGCTTTTATGCACAACTATGTTAACTTTTGAGTTCCTGACACTAATTATAATTTGATGTTTAATTTTCTCCATGCAGTTTCCGTAATCTCCTTAGCAAGATTACAATTCAAGAACCAACTTTTGATAGGATAATTGTTGTTTACAGGTACTTACTCTTGCTTCTTTTATCATACTTTTTGAAGCACAACTGATTTTAATCTTTTGTTACTTTAAATTCCATTATTTGGATTTTGGACAGAATTATTTCAATTCTTTGTAATGTTAAGTGCACATTAAACAGCTCTGTTATATCATATTGTCATTAATGAGCTACAATGGTGATTTTACAGACTAGCAACTTCTAGAACAAAATCAGAACGAGGAATATATGTGAAGCATTTCAAGAACATTCCTATGGCTGACATGGAGATTGTCCTGGTGTGTATATTTTGTTATGCGCTTTTGTAACTTGAGCATGTTCTGTATGTGTTCTCTTAGGTGTACTTCTAACTTGGTTCTGCATTACTGTCACCTTGTTCCATCTGATTTAGTTCCCCACTCTACTTTCTTCTGTAGCCGGAGAAAAAGAATCCAGGTCTCACTCCAATGGATTGGGTCAAATTCCTTGCTTCTGCTGTGGTTGGGCTGGTTAGAAACTTAACCTTTTTATATCTGAGCAAGCATCAGTTTTGTTTTAAAATACATTTCCTTCTTTTTCTCCTTGATGGATGTATGTTTTGATGTTCTTTCAGGTAGCAGTTGTGGGTTCAGTTGAATTGCCAAAAGCTGATCTTTGGGTCATGCTTGCTATTCTCTCCACTGTGATTGGATATATTGCAAAGACATACTTCACGTTAAGTGTTCTCCTTGTTATTATTAATCCCTCCTCCACATTATGTATGCGGCAATTGTGTTTGGCACAATTTTTAAGAAAACAAATAATGTGTGATTTGTTTTCTTCCAAATTTGTCCTTCTAAAAAGAAGTAAATTTGGGCCTACTTTGAAAATTTAAAAGAACTAAAGGGTAAATTGGGAAAAGTTAAAAAGTATTTAAATTAGGAAAATCAACATTATTTTCAGTCGGACTAAAAAGGATAATACAATAAATTAAGTGGGATGGGGGAGTATTATTTTAATATATATTACATATGGACATGTATATTTATATACATGCAGTTATTTGTTACTATCCTTATTTCTTATAATGGTCACATCCTGTCATTTACTGGATTGAATTTGGGAATATATTTGTTGGGTAAAAAAGTATCCCAGTGTTTAAGTAAGGTCAACATCTTTCTATTCTGTGTTTCTGCTCCTCATCTTTGCTTTAATTTCATCTCATAATAAACACTATAGCACAATCATATTAACTTTATTTGTTCTTGTGTCCATTCTGCCTACATTAATAGGTTGACTAGTCACAGAGCATAGAAATAAAGAAAACTAATGGTAAAATCAAAAGTTAGTGCTTTGTATAATGCCAAGGACCTTGTGGTCCAATGGCACCAAGTTGCTCCTTCATATGGGAGGTTGTGGGATCGAGCCTCAGTGGAGGTGATATTGACTCTTTGTGCTTTAATAGGTTGAGAAAATAGTTATGAATAGATACGGCATTGTAATAGAGTTAGTAGTATTCAAAAATAAAAACACAAGAGTTAATGTGCTATGCTCAAATGCCAAATTGATAATTGAAATAGAGTTAATGTGCTATGCTCAAATGCCAAATTGATAATTGATTTCACTTTCACCTAAGTGGATGAGAACAACATCACAATTGGCTCATATAGTGTTAGATATGAGTGTCTAGCACAATTTTTTTTAAAAAAATTATTCTTCTATTTTGAAGTTTTGAAGTGCCCAACATTAGTCTCAGGTAAGTTACCTGATGCAACGTGCTCATCCTCTAGATATGTCCTGGTTGACCTCTCTGGGGGTGTTCGTTCGGTTAACCGAACCGTTTTAACCGAAGTTTGTAAACCTTTAACCGTTAACCGAACCGAAGTTTGTGTTACCAAATTAACTGAATCAAAAAAAATTCGGTTAATCAGTCGGCTAACCGATTAATCGAACTTTTTAAAGCTAATATTTAAAATTCTAAAAATAATACCTATAATAATAAATATTACATATAATAATAATTTTGATTTCTAATTTTAGTGGAGACGAGAGCAGTATGGTTACATACTTACATTTAACATTATATATTCATTATATATATATATATATATATATATATATATATATATATATATATATATATATATATATATATATATATTTAAAACTTCGGTTAATCGACACTTTCGAACCGAATTAACCGTTAACCAAAGTTTTAAAAATCCTTTAACCATTAACCGAACCGAAAAAGTTCGGTTAAAAAACGGTTAACCGAACTTTGTCAGTTCGGTCGGTTAACCGAAAATTATCCGAAGTTTGCACACCCCTATCTCTAGTTGTACTGACCTTTTTGTGTAAATGATAATTTCATTGTTGTTGTTCATTGCTTGTACTCTATTTTCATATTATTGAAATTGTTGATTGTGAGTTAGATCCTCTCAACCTATATACAGATTCCAACAAAACATGGCTACATATCAGAACCTCATTACACAGTCGATGTATGACAAACAACTAGATAGTGGAAGGGGCACTCTACTCCACTTGTGTGATGACGTGATTCAACAAGAAGTATGTTGCAGCGCTGAACTTCTTCTACCTTTTATTCTTTTTCACATTTTGTTAATCTTCCTTTTCTATTATTTGTTTTTTGCCACTTAGATGACTAGGTTGCCAACTGCAAGGATCTAGTTTATACTAGTAAATTTATTCGAGGCTATGACCAATGTAGTACTTGTTTGGCACAGATTAATCTGGGCTTATCTACTCCAAAAAGTAGAATCTGCCCCAAACTCTAAAAATATTAAAAGGCTTTAAGGGGTAGAAAGGAGGTCAATGCATCTTTTTCAGGGAGCTCCAAGTTGAGGTTTATTAAAAAAAAAAAAAAGGTCTATTGTTCAAGAAGCACTACAGGAGCTGAATGGTGGAATAGAATCTATGTAGAATGCTGAGTCAGTTATTTGTTCTGATTTTTCCATGATCTTAAATATGGCCTGAAGTATTGGACAAAATTAACTACTGTTACTTTAATAATATCATGTTTCAAATGCACAGGTAAAGGAGGTTATAATCTCATTCTTCATATTGATGGAGCAGGGGAAATCTACCTTGCAGGTATCTTCTTTTTTTTTTTCTGTTCTTTCCTTACATGATTATATTTATCTCAAGTAACTTAAACCCCGTAAAATAAGAATAAATAAATCCTTAAAAAGTACCTTTCTTTATATTTTTTCCACAGTTCAATTTACATGTAGCTGACCGACATGTTTCAAGTAAATAAATACGGATTTCAGAGTGTATTTATGTTATTGTTTCTCTAGAGTAACTGAAAATTGAGAATAGGAATAGGTGTGAATGCCCAATTTCAAATGCTTTGAGACAGGGTTGTCTTCGATATTTAGGCAAAAAAATTGTTACTCTAAATGTTGCATAAAAATTGAAGTATGACCTGAAACTTTGAATGATGGTCATCTCAGGATCTTGATCTGCGCTGTGAAGAACTAATAAAAGAAGAATTTGGTGTAAGCTGCAACTTTGATGTAGATGATGCGGTTCAAAAGTTAGAGAAGTTGGGCATTGTTAGTCGGGTAAGATGGCTTTGTGTTTTTTTTTCCCTGATTTAGGCTGGATTTAAGTAGTGGCTATTTTGGTTCAACCTAATACTTGCGCATGCCATCAAATTATATATATATATTGATAAAATGTTGTTGTTGTTGTGTTATGATGAATGTAGGATACAATTGGAAGGTACTTCTGTGTAGGTCTTAAGCGAGCTAATGAGATTATTGGGACTACTACAGAAGAGCTTGTCCTCAAAGCCAAACAGGGAACCATTTCTTCTTGATGATGTATAGTCAGTCGTCTACTACTACTACTAGAGAGAAGAGATAAGAAGACCTCCTCCCTCCTATTCAAGTGTTTAGGCAAATTTGAGGATCCGAATCACAGATGAGATGGATTGAATAATAATGTGTGTTTGCCCTGTACTTTCTGTGTCAGCTTTAGCTTTTTCTTTGACACTTTTATCTGTAAAATCTTTTTTTTTTTTTTAATGTTTTCTATAACACAGAAAATCTTATTTCTTTAAATGATAGTTGTATAGGTAGCATCTTGGATTGCATCAAAAGTCAAAACCCACCTGCTTTTTAGTCTTGGTTATTAACTGCAAAATCTTATACAGAATGAGAGGTTTAATTTGGAGGACAATCAAATAAACTTTGGTGTAATATTTATTACCCACAAATAAAATGATTGCTTTGAACAAGAAAGATTCATTCATTCATTCTATAATAAGAATAATAATACATTTATGAGAAGGGAAAAAAATAAAAATAATAATAATGATTCATACAGCTGCTGTTTTTTACAATTATGGAACAGCTGGGTGGGGGTCTTATTATTTTAAAGCCCTGAAAAGCTGGCTTCCAAGGGTCACAACTGGGGTTCCTTCCCCCATCATAGTAGTCAAGCTCATTTCTTTCTCAAGTATGCGATCTAATTCTGTGACCACATAACTCATGCCCGCTCGCCTTTCACTCGAAGGCTCCACACACCGAACCATCAACTCAACAAATTCTTCCATGCCTTGTGCCGTGAAGCTATTGCCCAATTTTTGATCAATGATGGTGGATATGCTGCCCGAATCTTGATGATTTTCCACCTACAAATCATCATGCATATAATAATAACAATGTAAATGCAGGTTTGCAATGGGTACGAATGAATGAATGAATACCCACCCATTCAACTATGTTCCCATCTGTGCTCGAAGACAGTAAATCCATTGCTTCCTGCCCGCTTACTAGCTCCAAAAGAAATACTCCAAAACTGTAAACATCACTTTTCTCTGAGAAACGCCGAAACTCTCTTACCCTACATAACACAGGTGAAAACAGAAACACGTGATCAACTCTAGAATAGATATTAATAAGTAGGATTAGTTTCTTTTCATAGACAAGAGGCTGATATCATTCATAAATTCATTATCAACATCCTTTCATAATTCAATCACATATCCTTCTCAAGAGGAAGCAAAAAAAACATAGCCTTGTATTTGTAATCTGGGTAAAATATTAATCAAAGAATATCTAGAGAACTTACTCTGGTGCGAGGAAAATTTCATCAGCTGTGATGGAAGAGGATGGGCCTGCAACATCAAATCTTCCAAGAAAATTGCGAACCCCTGCGTCTGCCACCTTAGCAATGAAGTTTTCATCTACAAGAACATTCCCCGTCTTGAAATCCTTATGAATTAAACGAGGACTTTGGGAGTGAAGATGCTCCAAACCTGCTTATTATGTAATGTTATTACAAGTAAAAGCCTTGAAATAAAACAAAATAACAAATAACCAAGAAGAACACAAACCAACTCATAGGACTGATATGGGGGTGGTGGTATTTCTTTATCAAAAGAAAAGATAAACCGGTACCAGGAAAGCCAAAAATGCTCACTGATTTTGCAGAGGATCACCTTTAGCTGCCCCTATAGCTATTGAAAGCCTATGCTTGAATTCAAGCCTCTCCCGTGAAACATGAGCAGCACCTGCAGAAGCAGGTTAACCCAAACAAGTTAAGGGATGGTGGTCAAAGGCAAACAAAGCATTGGAGTACAATGACAGGAGGACAGGGAAGTTTGACTTTAAATGATTACCATACAAGTGAATGGATACACTCCCATTCGGTATGTACTCATACACAAGTATCTGTTGCTTGTTTTCCTGGCAGTAACCCAAGAGAGTGACTAAATTCCGGTGTTGAATAGATGAGAGATACCGAGCCTGATACAAAAAAGCAATCTTAGGAGAAATCACAAAATGGTGAAGATAGACAGATTCAATTCATTCTCTCTCTCTCTTTATTTTAAGTACATTGCAGTAACTTTGTTGCACTTAATAGGATAGGTGTTTACTGCATTATAGGTTCATAATAGACAGGAAAAGAAATAATTGGCATTTTGGAATTTATGAGTTGTTAGGAATATGTTATCATTCTGCTGATGAGAGATATACGGTGAAGAGGCCAGCACAAAAGACTACTTCATTCGGTTTTTGAATGTCATTTCTAGAATCTAATTTGGCATCCAAAGGAAGAAATATAAAGAAAACACATACCAGATACAGTACAATGGCATACAATTGATATCAGCTTCTCCAAAAGTTTAAGAACACAACTAGCAAATTTTCAATTCATTATAAACAAATACAGCTGTGTTAAAAAGGATGAATAAGAAAACATTGCAAGTAGTTTGTTTGAATTTTCACTTTGGCCCTGGATCTTAGAAATCTATCAATCTATTAGATAAATGTTTGCTACTGAAATGCCCAAAGACCAAAAATACCTCATCAATGAACTCTTGAGTAGGGGCACCTGGCCGCTTTTTAATTGCTACAAGCATTCCATCCTGAAGCAAACCTTTGTACACCTCTCCAAATTTTCCTTGGCCAATTAAATTCCTATCACTAAAATCTTTGGTTGCCAAAGATAGTTCTTGGAATTGAAAGCACCTTGCACCCCGTAAGGTCAACAACTCAGTTCCAACTGCTCTTCCAACTGCACATTAAAAAATAATTAAAAAGGCAAAATCAGTGAAAATAGGTGGTTTTGAGTTTTGTTAGCATAGCATAGATTACCATCACCCTGAGCAGATGGATCAGAAGATCCGGTCTCAGAAGTTCTGGAAATTCTCCTGCGAAGAGAAAGCCAGAAGAAGCAGATGATAAGTAGAATGACCCCCAGTAATGTTGCGGCTCCTGCAGCACCTCCTATAATTGCTGCAAGAGTCTTTGACATTTGGTTTGAGAGGCGCAAAGTTGACAAATCTTGAGATATATACTAAGACGCATTGAAACTGAAACCAAAAAAAAAAAAAAAAAAAAGTATGGGTGGTGTACATAATAATAATAAGCATAAAGGGGGAACAAAATTGCAACTTTAAGCAGGTAGGTAGCTTGCCTAGATTGGGTGTGGGTATCTTCCAGTCATAGTCTAAAACTTGAATCTACTCAGTGTATATATATTGGGTGACACTCAATTAAGAAAGATAGATAATAATGTGGATGTGATGGCATGTGGCAGGAACAGTTAGTTAATTTAAGAGTAGAGAATAGTGAGAGATTGTGAATGAAAGGCATATATCATAATCAATCCCCTTGATCTCATAACAGTTTCGGGAGGCAATGAATTTAGCAGTTGAAGAAGAATGAATGAATGAATGAATGAATGAATGGTGTGAGCGAGGGAATCTCAAACTGAGATTTCAAAGAAAGAGTTTAGTGAATGCAGATTGAAATTAGAATAATAGAAAAAAATAGGATAAAAGAAGAAGAAATGAAGGAAAATGAGAAAGAATGAAGCAGAAACCTGAGAGAAGGAGTGCGGAAGCAGAGATCCCGAACTTGATTTGGTAGAGAGAGTAGAAACCTGAGAGTCACCCACACCCACACCCACATTCAATCTTACTATGTAGTATGTACTGTAATAAATAACAATCTCAAGTCTCAAGTCTCCTCCTCCACTTAAGTATAAAAAAAGACAACATCCCCATGTACTACTGCTCCGCTAACTCACCCTGCCTTCAATTCCTTCCCGACCCCGGGAAACAACAAAACAAATCACCTTCCACTCTATTCTTCCTTCTTCCTTCTTCCTTCCTAGGGCAACATTATACATTTTTTGGTTATTTAGTTGTAGCTCTTTCTTAAAATCAACTGGTGATAAATAAATGGACTATAAACTCGACCGACCCCAACACTATGATTCCATCTTTTTTTTTTTTTTTCTCTCATGTTCAGTTGAGTTATCATGATTTATATCTTCCAAATGCTCTGTCGGGTGGGGGTGTGGGGGCCTTAGGGTTGGTGTTCAACCTTTTGGAAGAATGATTCCATCTTTTTTACCATAATTATTCACTATTTAATATTTATTGTGCTAATATTTATATAATAAACAATAATTTTTTTTTTAAAAAAAAAAAACTTCTATTGATATGTCAAAGATTTTAACAATAATAATAATTAAAAAAATGGTCTGTGTGACTTTATTCATCAAATAAATTCTTCCAAGTAAATACAAACACCTTTATTTCATTTCTTTTGATGACAAGAGAAATTTATAATCATCATCCAAATGTGTGCATTAAATAAATATTACTTTTATGTAAAACATGCAAACCATACAAAAAGGTAAATCGTAAATATTAATTGTTGAAAGCCCACAACTGCTATCTTAAATTAATTTATGTTTCTCATGACTAAATTGGTTTAAACCATCATAAGCATCAAACTTGAGCCCATGTAGTTATATAATTGTTTAAAAACAAAAAAAAAATGGACAGGGAAGTTGGGATGTCCTTGGCCTGCTGTGACTGTACATACATGCGTATTAACATTTTTATAATGTTGGAGTAGAAAAAATAACAAATGTGATTAGTAGTAGTTAGTTCATATTATGTAAGTAAATCAATACCGTGACGCACAATTCATTTTATAATTAAGAAGACAACAAACATTTGTTATGATGTTTTATTTATTAAAAAAAATAAAAAAGAAGAAAATGGTGGGGGAAGAGAAAATGATGAAAGTGTAGGTGTAGGTGGAGGAGGAAGAGGAAACAAACAATTTGCCGACAGAAAGGGATCTGGCGCCGACACAAATTCCAGGCCAGGGCCTGAAGGAGGAGCCAAACCCTTTTTATTATAATTCAATTACACCACATTAACCCCTCTCAAAAATATAAACTAAAATAAAACAACACTCCCCCCTGTCTGTTTCTCACTCTCTCTCATTCAACTAAATAACTTTACTTGGGGTAACCCATCTAAAAATGACAAGAGATCCACTCTTATAATCACAAAGTTACGAGTTTAAATTTTTGTTCCTTTAATTTGAGCTGGTCAGATGTGAGAAATTTAGGGTGTGTTTGGTTGGTGGGTTTTGTCCATAAGAATGGGTATGAAAGTGATTGTTGTTGTTTGGTTGATAGGTTTTTAAAACAGGGTTTCGAATACCCCATCAATTGAAAAACCCATACCCAAATAATATAAGGGTTTCATTCCCTTATTCATTCTCAAGCACTACTATTAGTAACCATTCCCATTCCACCCTACTACCAAACATGTTAAATACTTTCACCAAAACTCATTACCATTACCAAGTATTTGATACCCATTCCGATTCCGATTCCTACGTGCGAACCAAACACACCTTTAGGGTGTGTTTGGTTTGTGGGTTTTGCCCATAGGAATGGGTATGAAATTGATTGTTGTTGTTTGGTTGATAGGTTTTTAGAACACTACTATGGGTTTCGAATACCCCATCAATTGAAAAACTCATACCCAAATACAATAAGGGTTTCATTCCCTTATTCATTTTCAAGCACTACTATTAGTAACAATTCCCATTCCACCATACTACCAAACATGTTAAATACTTTCACCAAAACCCATTACCATTACCAAGTATTTGATACCCATTCCGATTCCGATTTCTATGTGCGAACCAAACACATCCTTAGTATTCCTTCTACTCCATTTTATGTGTTCTACTTACTATTTATTAGTTAAACTAACTCTTTATTTTTCGTTTATTTTCTTGTTTATTTGTACTTATTTTTAAATTTGATTTTTTTTTTTTTGTGTTTAATAAGATTTTTAGTATAATTTATAAATATATAAATTTTGTATATTAATATTAAATTTAATATTATGAAAAATTAAATTTAAAAAAAAAAACTCTAGTCAAAACTCGTTAATCAAACTAGATATATAAAATGTGATGGAAGGGATATGATTTACTTTCCTATGGTCTTGACAGAATTCATCCAAAAAATAATAATAACTTTAGTTGGTACGTTTGGCAGTAGGAACAGAGTAACATCTATGAGAAAAGAAGTAAAGATACGGAGAAGTGATGTAGTAGTGGAGATGCTTCGAAAGTCTCTACTCTCTTGGACTTGGAGTTTAGCAACTTTTACTACAAAACTTGAAACAAATATTAATCATTACTCTATTTAACTACTTAACAACTACGGAGTACTATTAACCTCAATCTTTTTGGTCATGCCTAATCACCTATCTACTTTTACCATTTTCTTGTTTAACTCATCAAATGTATTCACAAATACAAATTTTCAAAGGCCCATTAGAAAATGACTTTTTACCCCATATATATATATATATATATATATATATATATATATATATATATATATATATATTGCGCACACTGACACACAAACAAACAATTTTGCATGGTCTACATTAAAATTTGATTTTTTTTTAAAGTAACGAGAGAAACCAACTATTCAAACAAAAAAAAAATCAATAGGTTACTCCCAGTCTCCCATTAGGAGTCGAACTTAGAATCTTGTGGTTACCAAATCACAATCCAATTAACTTATTACGTACGATTATCCCATTTTAGATAAGATTTGAGTTTTATCATTGTGAATAAAGTAACAAATTCTATAAAAATTCATTTTTAAATGCTACCTCATATCGATTTAACTTTAACTAACAAAACTTGATATAATTATTAGATATTGTGAATTATGATACTAAAAAAGTGTTTTTTTTTTTTTTATTACGATAAAAATATAATGAACTGTAAATAAATTGAGCTAAACAAAGAGTATATATATAGCATATTATAGTTGAGAGTAAATGACAATCCATAAAAAACAAGTAGATGAATAACAAATACAAGCAAAGAGTATAAAGGGGAAAAAAGAAAGGCAATATATATAGTAGTGGTACTACTACTGCCGGCTGGCAAAACGGCTGCCTGTTGCCCACGCCATGTGCTCTGCCTTCCCCAATATTTTTTTTCTCATTTTTTTTCCCTTTCTTAGAGCATTTTTTTTTGAGGAGTTTTTGTGAATGTGATTAAAAAAGAGAGGAGGAAAAGAGAAAAAAAAATTAATATGACACTTAAAAAAAAAAAAGATTCTTAACGCGCTAGCCGGCACGTACATTACACGCGCCCCGCTTAGCTTTGCTGTGCGCGAACAATTTCCCTTGTTCCTTTGATCAAAACACTGTTTCAAAAACTTATTGTTGCAGAGGAACTATTTTTTCCTTTCTTGCTTTCTCTCTCCACCATATCATCACTCAGTGTTTCAAAAATCACTAAATATGCACTAATAAGGGTGCTCTTAGCTCTGGTGTACCATTTCAATAAAAATAGTTAATTTCATATTTTGTCATAAATTTATAGATGCCAGTTTATTTTTAGTCTTTCTTTTTCAGAACATTTCCTTTAGTCCTATTATTATTATTATTATTATTATTATTATTATTATTATTATTATTATTATATTTTTACCCCTCGTCAACAAAATCGTTGAAATGTCGTTAAATATAAAGACATCTTGATTTTTTTAAAAAGATAGAGTGGGTTGACCCGCTATATTTTTATTTTTATTTTCTTGAAAAAAATCATAATTGAAGACTTAAATGCCCGTGTATTTTAACGAATGACAAAAAATAATCATGACACAATAATACTAAAACCAAATAAGAATTTCTAAAAAAAATATATAAAAAGTGAATTGTCATTTACAAATCTAGAGTAAAAATAGAATTAATTCATAATAATTAGAAAAAAACGCAATATTAAAATAATAAAAGCACCTAAACTTTTTAAAAAATTAACACAATTACACATCAATCTTGAACGTCTCACCCCTTCTTTCTTGAAAATTAGACGAGTGTTAATCACATAAATATGTTTGGACTGATACCTTATTACAATAATACTAAATTTATAGAGTTAATACCCAAAATCGTCCTCGACTATTGTGATTTTTCTCAATTTCGTCCTAAACGACTTTAGTGACTTAATATCGTCCCAGACTTTTGTGTTTCGCTCAATTTAGTCCCAGACTTTTGTATTTTTGCTCAATTTAGTCCCTCATTTGTTATTCTGTCCATTTGGTGTTAAATAAATAGACAATTCAGTAATTTTAATATTGGCATCTCTTTACTCATAGACATGTGAACTGTGAAATCCTTTTTTTTTTTTACGAATTACTCTCAGAATTACTCCTAAAACTGCGAATATAAAATTTGATTTGCAGGTCCGGGAGTAATTCTGGGTGTAATTCGTACAAGAAAGAGAAATTTCGCACTTCACAAGTTGAAAGTAAAGAGAGATCAATATTGACATTACTGAATTGTCCCTTTATTTAACACCAATTTGACGGAATAACAAATGGAGGACTAAATTGAGCGAAACACAAAAGTCTGGGACGATATTAGGTCACCAAAGTCGTTTAGGACGAAATTGAGAAAAACCACTATAGTCGAGGACGATTTTGGGTATTAACTCTAAATTTATATAACTCCTTATCAAGTTATTTTTCTATAAAATTGTCAAAGGTCCTGTTTGGTAAAATAGTTAACATATTAGTTAATTTTGACTTATTTGACCATTATTCATTGTTTAATTTGGTTAAACAA